CATGAAAAAATTAACACCTTAATGGGGGGGGGGTCATGGAAAACTTGCACCGTTTCTGCTCTTTTTCCTCCAGCCCACCCTAACGTATAATTAATGAACGGTCCCTTAGAGTGCTGCACTTGAATCACAGGACCGTAGGTTTAATTCCTGCCAGATCACCTAGTGTTGCATTTTTCGCAGCCGTTCCGGATTAGGTCTTAAATTCTGTATATATTAAATATGCTCTCTTGGATTATCCACCAAATCCAGCATAATCTGATCATGGACAAAAAGATACATACAGTTTTGCATGCATATTAACGAGATAATATGTAGAAGAGATAATATGTGTTGTTTTGTGTTTTTTAATATAAATTTCGCATTATATCTTAAGTTTGTTTTAAAAGCGTGATTACAAGCACGAGTTACTTATTCTACTGCGCATGTGCGCGAAAGCAATACGTAATGTTAACTAAATTATTCTTATATGAAGTTCGACTCGTGTCCATTCCGCCGGCCTTGATTCATCAACAAAACATTAACACATACATAAATTTACATATGCATTCATTTACAGTACTATTCCTTTGTAATGTCAGTTTGTTGTTCTTTGGGCAACAATAAACAAACCTTTACTATGGGTCTGACACAAGTTCCTTGCTTAGTCTGCAGAGTTACTACACGCACTAACTTGTCAGGACCAGGTTGAACTTTTATTACTCTGGCGAGAGGCCATTTGCACGGCAATAAACGATCATCTTTGACCACTACAATATCTCCAATAGATAAGTTCCTTCTCTCGTGTTTCCACTTATTGAAACGTTGCAAATAGTTCAAATATTCGGCATACCACTTTTTCCAAAAATGTTGAACTAGGGCTTGACATAAGTACCAACGTTTTAGTACTTTCATCGGTTTATTAACTGGATCGGGATGATCTGGAAGAGATTCCAATGGTCTACCAATTAAAAAATGACCAGGAGTTAACGGAGCAATCCCATCATCGTCGTTACTGTCGATAGAAGCAGCAATCGGTCTAGAGTTCAAGCAGGCTTCGATTTGGCATAGACACGTAGTTCTTCAAAAATCAGTTTGGTTTCACCAACAATCCTCTTGAGATGATACTTGCATGCCTTGACACCGTTTTCCCATACTGAGCCATGATGAGGGCCTGTAGGAGGGCTGAATTTCCACTGTATGCCTTGTGTAGAACAAAAATTGGCAATAGTCGCTTGTGTCTCTGCTTCCTTTAAGTAGTCATAAAAATCCTTGAGATCTTTATTTGCTCGAGTAAAACATGTTGCATTGTCACTCCAAATTTGACGTGGTTTTCCTCGTCTCGCCACGAATCGACGTAGTGCTGCGACGAACGCTTCAGCTGTTAAATCAGACACTAGTTCTATATGGCAGGATTTGGTTTGCAAGCAGACAAATATAGCAATGTACGGCTTTTGATCAATTGGTCTTCGTTTGGATCCGGATTTGATGAAAACAGGACCAGCATAATCAACTGAGACCATTTCGTTTGCCAATGATGGATTGACTTTTTCTTTTGGGAGTTGACCCATTAGCTGTGTGGAAACCTTTGGAGATGTATATACGCCAACAGATAACGCATTCACGAGTGCACTTTCGAACAATCCTTCTAGCACTGATTATATGATAGCGCTGTTGAAGTGTTCCTAAGCTAGACCAGTTTAGGTCCTGCATGGCACAATCGTTTGTGTTCATGTTCGACAAGCAAGGTGGTAAGTCGATGTTTTCCATGGAGAATTAAGAGGCAGTCCGTGTAAAAACCGACCACTCGAATTTCTTAAGATTACACATTTCCTTCAAACTTTCTGTGTGGAAGAAGTCATTCATAAAATGAACAAAAAACGTTGACTTTGAAATTGTAGTCAGTTTTAAAAAAATTTTCGCAATTATTTTCGGACGCGTTCGAAAACAAGTTAAAACGTTAATTACGCAAGTGATATTTGGGCTTTTTTATATCTCACAGTTCATCTCGCGCTTTTATTCTAACTTCTTGAAACTTACATATTTTATTATTTCCTGCCTATGCATAAACCTAAACTAAAAATTATCCTGATCACTTGAAGCAAACAAAATATTGTGTATTTTTAAAAACGTCTTTCAGACAGCTGATTAAATATTCGTGTTAGCATGCTGGCGGTAAATTATTTTTTCTCAAAAGTGCAAGGGTATCAGGTATCCAATCTATTGCAGCTACTGAGTATTATGACACATCTACTAGAATAAATAATAAAATCTTTGGGCAATGTGTTTTTCGCCTGACAAGCGCGTCATGAATATAGTCAATTTTCGCTAATTCCCCTTATTATAAGCTATAATTTCTTTTTGTATTTACTTAAATTTTTCGCGTTAAAAACATACAAAACTGTTTACTGTTTCAAATATGGCTGTTTTTTGGATAGAGAGTAAGTTATAAATATGCCAGCAATTATATATGCTTGAAATTTTACGTTTATGGGTATCATTAAATACTACATGCATGGTATATATAAACAAAAATGTATAAGAAAAGTGCGGGAAAGGATATATGTGTGCCAATTTATACGAATGCCTTGAAGGAGCACTTTTTTCTCATCATAGACATAGTGCAGATTTATTTTGCCACTATAAAATGAAACAAATATTTTATACATGTTTTTAAGGACTGCAATTACATGCTGATCTCGGTTAAGGTCCTGTCACACTATTGCGTATGAGAGAAACGTATGAGTAGCGTAAACCATGCATGTGCATGGATACGTCCGCATCAAGGGTGGGTTGACTACAAAATTTTTGTAGTTCGCTATAATTACAGCTACTTCAAAAAGATCTTGTCTAAAAGTACACACGAGTGACCACGAATGACCACAAGTGACCACGAATGACCACGAATGACCACGAATGACCACGAGTGATTTCTGTGTTTAAAAGTCATAAAATAATAATAAAAAACTATTTTAATTAAGGTGGCTCCATAGGGTTTTTGCATTATACTACACTTTTGTATCCAGAAAACTCCTGCTCCTTCACTTTACATGACACGAAGACGAAATTTATTGGACACATTGACAATGCTCTCCTGAATATTGCAATGTGCTACTTTTGCGCAGAAAGTCTGTTACCATGGCAACAGCGTGCTTACGATAAGGCTCAAAATTTGTCTTTTTTCGGCCATTTTAAAAATCCTTTCGGGAAATTTTTTTTAGTTTTTCGACTATTGTACACGTCAGTCTACAGGAACATAGCAAAGCATCTGAAGTTGGGGGGGGGGGGTGGTCGGAGGATTTTACCTGTAATTTGAATTTTTAATTAATAAATACTTACCTAAAGTGTAATAATTATAATAAAGCTTCTTGTGATAATGACTTGCACCGTCATACTAAGTTTCGGGAGAAAACAGGGGTTTGGGGTCCTCCCCCCCCCAAAATTGTTCCATTTTTGAAGCTCTAGGACTGCAATTCTGGCGTTCTAAAGCAAAATCGCAAAACAAATTGGGATGTAAATTGACTGTATATTCTTACAACTATGGAGCCACCTTAAAAAATAGGTCTTTATTATTATTCTATGACTTTTAAACACAGAATCACTGTGGTCATTCGTGGTCACCGTGGTCACCATGGTCACTCGTGGTCACTGTGGTCACTTGTGGTCACCCGTGTGGTCATTCGTGGTCATTCGTGGTCACTCGTGGTCACTCGTGTGTA